ATGACCTATACCAAGCAAATGCCTTGGATTAATTAAGGAATCCAAATAAGCATAGGTATTGGCCTACCTTTAAAAGTAATGGAACATAATTTAAGTGAGTAGATCAACCCTAAAGCTATGTTAATACCTGAATGGCATAGATATTACTGGAATGCGTGTTCGTCTTCTTAAGTTTGACTCGATGATAAATTTTGGAAGTATTCAACTTATTTCAACTCTGGATCGCATTCAGTACTAAGAATTAGACGTTTGTTCGACAAATCAACCACAAAGACCAAATTGAATGGAACGGAAGTGCAACATGTGTCTGAAAATCAAGAACGCTTGAATTACTCTGGAAAATCCCGAAGTATCTGGAATGGACTTGAATGCTAAATAAATTAAGTAACCACAAGGACTGAGGATTAAATAAGTGAGTTGGATGAATCTAGAAATGTTAATGAACATATATGATGTAATGTTCTTATGGATTATGAATTACAAAATCAAGTACGTCAGTATTTTATGATATGGTGAAAGCGTGAACATGAAATCAAGATATTGGAAGATTTATTCAACGTTAATTTCGAAAATGATATATGAACAAAAATTTGTGGTATTAAAGAGTAAATACCTTGGAAGGAAAATGAATTGACCAGTCGACATAGATTGTTAAGGTTCTGAATCTTAGTTCTCAAGTTGTTCGATTATCCGATCAATTGACATGGATGCAAAGGATTCTGAATACCCTTCTGATTACGTACGGCTTCTGAAAACTGTCCGAATAAGATATGATCCTGATAATTCACATTCTGAATAACTGATGATTCTGTCAGTTAATGAACTCTTCCAATAGTGATTCTAAATTCTGATATCCTATTGGTATACTGAAGATTCATGTTTCTCTACCTGTTAAGATTATCCAATACCTCTGAATAATATCTGTAAACTCTGGTGTGTTCCCTAATCATATAAATATTTTATCTGATTTCCGACTTGAATTCTGTTCTGATACATTACCTGAATTCTATTCTGATTTCTGATCTGGATTTTATTCTGATATCTGATCTGAATTCTGTTTTGATTTCTGATATCTCCGTTTACCGACGGAGAAATGTTTTATCTGGGGGGGTTTATTGTTGGAGGAAGATTATCTGCTGGCTTCTCGGCTGTGTGCTCAGGGCCTTACTGGTTGTGCGGGGTGTATGGTTCCGGGGAACCTACACAAACAGATTGTGAAAGGATGGGGGTGTATATATATATGTTTAAAAAAACTATACTGGTTTTACGGGAACACACTAGAAAACCTATTCTGAACTCCTGAACTCAGTCATCCGAAATATTTATCTGAACTAAAAGCTCATTGTCCGTTAGCACATGAAATATCAGTAGGATCTCTGCTCAGTATAAAAATTTGTAAATGTTTGGAAACAATAAGGAAATACATATTTATCTGTATCTGCACGTTCATCAGCATCATCTGGTAGTTCTGTATTACTGAGCTTTTCGAAGCTCACTCTATTACTCACCTTTTCAGGTTAAAAGAATTGTACCAGTGCATCTATCGACTTCAGTAAGGGAGTTCTTCCGGCGTGGTTGTAGAGTATGGTACTTGTGATTAGGGGGCATGTAACTGTATTTTGTTTTTATATGTGAGTCTGAAAATCTGTTTTATTTTTAAAAAGTGACAACTGATTTTATAAGTTGTTAAAGTGGCCTCAATTATGGAGAATATTTTATACATGTTATGTACATGTAACTTAAGATATGTTAGTATTGATCGATCCAAAAGAAGATTAATAGTTGACATAATTGCAAGTACAACTTTGGTAATAAGCATGTGATAATTATTTGATTTGATGTGTGATTAATAAATCGACCCAAAGAAAGATTTTTGCTTAATATGTTCTTATTATCAATGTTTGGTTATCGCATCAGATATCACTTAAGGTGAAAATTTTGTCTAAATATGAAATATTAACGGAGTATTTGATATCTTGAGATAAGGTTTAAGTGTATTCAAATTTAATATGCGATGAAAACGACTTTGGTGATATTTATTTGTAACTAAATCCATTAATAGCCAAAATATTAAAAAAATAATTACAAAAATCAAGTATGAATATATAATATGGGAACTACATATAAATTGATCTATGCCATGAGTATTTCTTGTTGGTTTATCACCCTTCTCCACAGACATCTTCTGGTGCATAGTTTTGCATGCCAAATCCACTAAGCACCTTATCAATATTAAGCCCTTTTACTATAGTTCATGTATACTCCAAAATTATTTGAGGGATCGTAACGGTCTCATTTTTAGGGATCGTAATGGATATTTAGGGACTAAGTTGAATTTGGAGTTTGGAGTTTGCTTTGATTTTGATTTATTTGGAAGTCTTGGAAATTTTGTGAAATAAAAGATGGCAACTTGAAATTTTGACATGTTAATTGTGAAATGCTTGAGGACAAACATTGAATAAGTGAGGGAAAATTTGATGCGTAGTTTAAATAGTCTTTATCTTATCCTTAATTACTCCTCGTTGTCTAGTTTTTGTTGTTGATTTGGGCTTTTCTATTCATGTTCTGTGCAGGACATTATATTTTAGAAAAGACACTAAAATGGCGTAATTCTGTAAATTTTTTATTTTCTGGAGTTAAGATTAGATTAATGGGTATGACTGTATCTGACGCAGTATCTTCTAGAAGATCCAATCGATGTCTTCCAGAAGGTTCAGTCATTATTCCTCAAGACGGACGATTAGTTCCAAATTTGAATTTGAATTTATTTTTCTTTTTTTTAGGAATTATTATTTAAAACTATCTTTTAAAAATTATTATTTAGAATTATTTCTTATTTATTAGGATTTATCTTTTAGGAGTTATTTTTTTGTATAATTCAAGAATTATATCTTGACATTTTTACGTATTTTTAGGATACCTCACTAGGGTAAGCCAGAAAATATATCTCTCATATCTCGAACTACTTTGTTCTTTGCTTTCTTTAGCTAAATAAAACTTTATTTTTTTTCTTTTCAATTTCTTTATTTTTATTTTAATGTCAAGCATGATTTTTAACGACAAAATCAACGAGATCATGCGCTGAATTTTTTTTTCACGAAGATACTGCTTTCGCCAGATTAATTGCTCAGATGGGGTGATATCTACAGTCTCCATGTAGGTCGCCAGGTGCTCCGGGCGACTTCGGGTAGGTCGCCATGCACACCCAGCGACCTACCAGGCCGCCATACAGTCCCCAAAGGTCACCATGCAGTCCATAATAGATCTGACTTTGTTTTTTATAGATCCCATATCTCATCCTGTTAATCCTAATAATCATTGTTCTGTTGTAATTTGCCTGAATATAATATAAACATTTGATTAGTAGCATTTACTTGTTATTGTTCAGTTCTTTCTTTTCTTTGGGCTATTTCCTTAATGTATTTTGTTTTGGCTGTTGCTTAGTATATTTACAGTGAGCTAGCGGATGGGGGAACTGGCCATGGGGAGTGCATGGCGACCTGGTAGGTCGCTGGGTGTGCATGGTGACCTACCCCATCTCACCACATCGCGGGGACGTCGCCCGGAGCACCTGGCGACCTACATGGAAATTGTAGATATCACCCCATCTGAGCAATTAATCTGGTGAGAGCAGTATCTCGTGAAAAAAAAATGCAACGCATTATCTCGTTGATTTTGCCGATTTTTATCATGCTTTGCTAATTTTTCAATAAGTCGAAGGTTGAAGCTGCGAATCAATCCAATCTTGTAAGAATCAAAAAAGGTACATAATTTCCTTAGATTATTTTCTTGAATTTTTGGCAAACCAAGGTAGGCAATAAGCCTTTCTTCAATATTTCAACATCCTCAATCGAAGAAGTGCACATTGGCTTGATCGACATTGTGATCTACAGTTGGGGAGGAGAATCGGCTTGTAGCAAGGTCAATTCCCTAAGAACAAACTTAGTGGCGGTCTGTTAAGGAAAATCAAGATTGAGTTTAATTCTCATTTGGACATCATAATCCAAGCATGGGCTTTTCCTATTCCTGAACTAGTATCGGCGTTAACATCAATAGGTGTTGTTAATCCAATCAAGGGATGTATTCCATGGATTGACTTCGGAATAATAGTTCACCAGAGATAAGAGTAAGTTACTAGGGATAGAACTTGTAGACTGTAACAGATAAATATCTAAGGTAAAATCTATTTCAGATCAAGACAAGATTGAGGCAAGGCAAAGATGGAGGCTATATTTCATTAATCATCTTTTCTACAATTTATTGTTATCACTTTAGTTATTTAATTTTAGTTTAATTGATTATTTCAAAAACCCCTTTCTTTTTAATTATTTGTTTTTACAGGTTTCTTGGTTAGAATCAAAATCAAATTAGAAACATATACTTCCAGAGTCCACGTGGATCGACCTTCTTTTCACTATTCTACCTGTATTATTTCTTGAGATTAAAGATACTTTATTTGACAGAAAAACGACGGTTGTCAAATTAACACCGTTTTCAGAGACTTTGACAATAGTTACTGATTAAATTTGTTTTTAATTTATGACCAGGTAGAACCCAAACAAATTAATAGATTTTGAACCTGAGATCAAAACACTAGTTAAGAAAATACGTGGACTAACACTTCGGGAAAAAGGAACTCTATATTCAACTAAATAAACCTGATAATTGATTATTTATTTATTTATTATATTAATATATTTAATTTTTTTTTCCTTTCTAAAAAATGCATGGTTAGGCTGTTAAGTAAATCTGAGGTTAGGCTGTTAAGTAAATCTGACCAATCAAAATCCAACATTTTAGATTCAAATCAACGTAAAGTTGAATGTTTTCAACCACAAATCACCATTTTTGTTTTGGTTTTTAATGGTTCATGTTCTCAATTTTCTTCTATAGAAGAAAGAGTTTCATCAATTGTTTCAAATACCCAATTCAAATAAAAAGAAAATCTTACATGCTTTCTCAATAAGGTCTTTGTTCTTCTGAAAGTATATTAGTGCGAAAGCAAAGAGAAAAAAATGGGAAAAGCACCGGCAATTATCGGTGTTTGTTCGGTCATACTGGTGGCCATGGTGGTGGCGGTGGCGGTTGGTGTTTCACGCAGCAAAACTGGAGGCGGAAGTGACGAGCCGATGACTTCCACGAAGGCGGTGCAATCCATTTGTCAGCCGACCGATTACAAACATGCATGCGAAAACAGCCTCGCGGGAGCCAACACAACCGACCCCAGGGCGCTCATTCAGGCGAGTTTCCACGCGGCAATCCGCGAGATAGAGAAGGTTCTCAACAACTCCGGCACCATTCAAGACGCGGTGAAAGACCCGATGTCTCGTCAAGCTCTCGACGACTGCAAAGAGCTGATGGGTTACTCCATCGACGACCTCAAAAACTCGTTCGACCAAACTCGGTGCATTCGACGTTAGCAAGCTAGACGAATACGTCGAGAACCTCAAGATTTGGATGAGCGGTTCCATCACGTATCAACAAACATGCTTGGACGGGTTCGTGAACGTATCGACCGAGGCCGGTGAGAAAATGAGAAAACTATTGAACACTTCACAGATGCTCACTAGCAACAGCTTAGCCATGGTTACTGAAATTCCTAAACTCGTAAGTGATCTTAACATTACGGGGTTCGCAATCGGCGGGGCTAAACGTCGGCTAATGGCTAAAGATGGGTTCCCTTCGTGGGTTAGTTTTAGGCAACGGATGTTATTGCAACGAAATCCGTCGCAGATTAGACCTAATGTCATCGTCGCTAAAGATGGTAGTGGCAAATATAATAGCATCAATCAAGCGTTGAAAGAAGTCCCTAAGAACAACGCTTCCCCATTTGTGATACACATTAAGGCTGGTGTTTACAATGAACAAGTTATTGTTGATAAGCATATGTCAAATGTCGTGTTCATCGGAGATGGACCGACTCGGACCACCATCACCGGTCGTTTGAACTTTGCCGATGGCACTTCCACGTTCAGGACTGCGACCGTTGGTTAGTATTTACAGTTAAATTCGAATATGATAGAACTCACACTTAAATTAGAATAACATGAAATAATATTTGCAGCTGTTATCGGTCCAAAATTCATGGCCAAGAACATTGGATTCGAGAACTCTGCGGGAGCCATCAAGCATCAAGCTGTGGCCATTAAGGTCCAAAGTGATCAATCCATTTTCCATAATTGTCAAATGGATGGATACCAAGACACCCTTTACTCCCACAGTCATCGTCAATACTACAGGGACTGCACTGTCTCCGGTACCATTGATTTCGTCTTCGGCAACGCGGCTTCAGTCTACCAGAACTGCAAACTCATCGTACGGAAGCCGCTCGACAATCAACAATGCATAGTCACCGCACAAGGACGGTCAGAGCGTCGCGAGGCCACGGGCTTCGTCCTCCAGAACTGCTCCTTCACTGGGGCCCCCAACTACCTTCCGGTGAAGGAGAGAAGCAAGACGTACCTCGGCCGACCATGGAAACAGTACTCGAGGACCATCATCATGCAATCTCAGCTAGACGACATCGTCACGGGCGACGGATGGATGCCGTGGATGGGCAACTTTGCCCTCGACACCCTATGGTACGCAGAGTTCAACAATCGAGGACCGGGCGCCGTCCAGACCAACAGAGTTAAATGGAAAGGTATCCAGAAGATCAACGCAGTTCAAGCCCAGCAATTCACCGCCGGTGTGTTCTTACGTGGTGCGGACTGGATCCAGAACTCCGGGATACCTTACATTGCTGGCATGATCCCCGGTCTATAGAGATTCCGAACATACTACATATGAAAACTATGAATAATTATGCATCTACGTACTTGCAACGTTTGTGGATATTAAGATCGAACGTTGATTAGAAGAATGAGAATAAAAGGAGGAGAGTAAGGTTATCGTGTATAGACTAGAAAATGGATCAAGCGTTAGGGTCTGGCTAAGTTCATAGGCTAAGAAGAATAAATGTGGAAGATAGACAAGAATTTTATGCGCCTTTGGTAATTTTCATTGATCCAAAGTGTCGGATTCTTAAAAAATTTACTGTTCTTTTCTATAAAAATTAAATTATGATTTTATTTGATATTTTCATAAATGAATACAAAATTTTAAAAAAAAATTGGGAGCTTGTGGAGAAAGTGGATTTGGTCGTGCATCTCTTCTGCACATGTGTCAGTACTAGTTAACAAGTCTCCTACGAAGGAGCCTCGGACGAGGAGAGGGCTCCGCCAAGGAGACCCGCTCTCCCTGTTTTTTATTCATCATCGTAACAGAGGCCCTTCATCTCTTATTCAACCAGGCAAAAATTCTGGGTGAAATTGAAGGAATTGGCAATATAATCCCTCATCAGTCCTTCACGACTTACAGTTCGCGGACGACATAGTAATTTTTATCAAGCCGAAAATGGAGTTCATTCCGAATGTTAAAAGGATTTTGAGGTGTTTTGAGGCTTGTTCTTGGTTAAGTATCAATTTTAGCAAATCCTGTATTAGGTAGAGGTGACAAACGGGTCATTCGAACCGGGTCTGGGTTAGGTTATTTTGAGTTGAGTAATTTCGGGTCTAGATTAAATTAGGTTTAATTTTGTTCGGATCGAATTGGATTTGGTTTGAATCTAGTTTCGGTGTACGGTGAATCGGATCAGGTCGGGTATCGGGTTGGGTAAATTTTGGGGTCACGTGATTATTGGATCGGTTGCTTTCCGACTCAGATCAATATCAGATCGGTTGAATTTTGGAGGGGGTTAATATCGGGTCAGGTCAATACCAGATTTGTTGATTTTTGGGTCGGATTAATACCAGATCGGTTAGATTTTGGGTCAGGTCAATATCGGATCGATTCATTTTCGATTTAGGTCAACCTTTAGATCAGGTCAATTCGAGTTGAATTGATTATGAGTCTAATCAAAATCAAGTATATATAAAGTAATTAATATATATTTGTAAAAATATGTTTTCTTATTTGTTAATTTTATTATTTAGGTTTAATTTCATTTCACAATCGTTCAATAATTTGAATTAAACCATCATTTAGAGACTATAAATCGATAATTTGACACAAATATGATCCTATAATAGGTGTTAGAATTTGTTATCAAAATTTTATATTGATATCGTATGAAAAATTTATAATGAGAACTATTAGGTAAAGAAATAAAAATTTTTTATTAAAATTTTTATTTCCAATTATAAATTTAATATTTTTATTAAATTTTAAAAAATAATACATAACTTTATTTGTTAAGTTTTAGTCGTAACACAAGTAAATTTTATATTATTTTTATTATAAATCTAATATTATTTCCTTTGTTTTAGTTGTTTTATACTATTTTTATTATAAATCTAATATTTTTATAACAAGTAAGATAAGTCAACTTTATTTATTCATGTTTTCAATCTTACAATTAGATTCTTACTTTTATATTCTTCTTAAACATTCTATTATTTTTATTATAAATCTAATATTTTTATAACAAGTAAGATAAGTAAACTTTATTTATTAATATTTTCAATCTTACAATTAGATTCTTACTTTTATATTCCTCTTAAACTTTTTATTATTTTATTATAAATCTAATATTTTTTAATAAATTATCAATTTTATTTAAATTAATTTATTATTGAAAATAACTTTTATCGTTTAATAACTTTTATCAATTTCAATCTGTTCGAGTTGGTTTCGGGTCGGGTTAAATTCAATTTGGGTTGCTTTCAGATTGGGTTAAAATTCGGTTTGGGTTTCTTTCAGTACGGGTTAATTTCGGTTTGGGTTGCTTTCGGTTCGGGTTGCTTTTGTTCGGGTAAATTTCAGTTTCAGTTTTGGTTGATATAGGTTTCACTAATTTTTGGATCAGGTCGGGTATCAGATCAAATTTGATTATCATGTTCGGGGTTAGTATCGGGTATTGGGTCAAGTAAATGGGTTCAAGTAATCGGGTTCGAGTCAAGTTTGCCAAGTCTAGTATTAGGGATGTAAAAATCAGGTAATCGTTTAGGTTTCAGTCAGATCCCGTCAGGTCAGGTACAATCGGATACAGGTCGTGTCAGCTCAATTTGATGTTCGACTCGGATCAGGTCGAGTTCACGTCAAATTAGTTTGGGTCATTTTTAAGTTGATTTGACATCAGATTCATTTCAAGTTCGGGTATGGTTAATTTCAGTTTAGATCGATGTCAGTTCAGGTAAAAAAGGATCAGGTCTGGAGCAGTTAAACACCATGTTAATTTAGGTTCGGATGGACTTCAGTCGGATCTCATTCAAATCGGGTCACTCCATTGACATATAAAATTCAGGTTTGATCTTTATCGAATACGGATTAACTTCAGGTCGTGTCATTTTTTATTTTTGGATTAATTATTTTTCGCCTTTCGTAAACGTTGAATTGCAATTTGTAATTGTATATGATTTAGAATATATTACTACAAATATAAATAATTATGGATCAATTTTGATAAAAATATAATTTTAAAGACTAAATTGAACAAACATGAAATTACAAATAAAAATTTAAATAAATTAAACAACATGCATTAATGAGGGACCAAATCAAAATAATTTTAAAATATGAGGTTGAAATTAATATAAAAAGGACTAATTTATACCCATTTAAAAAGTTATGGGTCAATTACAAAAATATGAATAAGTATGGGGTCAATTTCAGATGCAAATATAATTTTAAGGACTAAATTAAACAAATACAAAATTACAAATAAAAATTTAAATAAATTAAACAAAACAAATGGATCAAATTGAAATAATTGTAAAATATGAAGAAAACTTTGTAAAATAAACTAAATTGCATTCATTTCAAAAGTTGAGAAAAAATTAAAACAATTATAATATATTAATATATATATATATATATATATATATATATATATATATATATTATATACTATATATAAACTATATAATATGTAAACTATATACTATATAAACTATGTAATTTATATTTATGAACTATATATAAATTATATATGAACAATATATAAACTATATAAATAAATTATATAGTTTATATATATATACTATTTATGAATTATATATAGACTATATAGTTTATTAATAGAAACTATATAATTTTTATATTTATACTATATATATATATATATATATAAAAACTATACAATTTATTAATGAATTATATATAAATTATATATAAACTATTTATATATATATATATTACATAGTTTACATATATGAACTATATATATAAACTATATAAATAAATTCAAAGTATATACTATATACTTTAGTTTATGGTTTATACTATAGTTTATATTTATATAATATATACTATAGTTTATATATATATGTGTGTGTTTGTGTGTGTGTGTATATGAATACATTCATGTATATTAAATTCAAAGTATATACTATAGTTTATATTTATATATTATATATTATAGTTTATATTTATATAGTTTATACTATACGAATTCAAAGTATATACTATATGTATGAATATTATATAGTTGAATACATTCATGTATATATATACATATAATATTAATTGAAAGAATTGAAAAATATATAGGGATCAAATTGAAAAAATTTAAAATATAAAGCTTAAATTACGTTATACATTTTGACTAAATTGAACAATATAAAATATGGGGATGACACTACAATGCCAATTAAACTTCAGAAATACACGGCCAAGAGGCCCAGATTTAAACTAATATATAAACCCAATTTTTTCTAATTTCAGAAATAATTCTTTTTTTTTCTCATTTTATGATTTTCCTCTCTCTCTCTAAACTTCGATTTTCTCAAAATCCTCTGACTTATCTCTAGAATTCTGAGCTGTCAGATTGCATATTGATGGCGTTGAGATACCATGAGTTGGCAGATCAGCGCAAAGGCGGGAATTGATTGTGATATGTTCCTCATTGGGGCCGTTTTGAGTGTGCTTCAGTCTTTTGATCATAACTTTGGCCCTTTTTTCGACCTCAAATTATGTCGTTTCTCCCTCCAAATCACTAGATTTATATATTTTTTTATTATTTATGGTAATATTTCGATTGTCAATTAAAAAGTCATTTTAAATCCGATTTCGGCCGGATTTTTTACAGATTGCTTATTTTATTTTGAATTTCAATTTAGAGTGATTTTCGGGATTTTGCTATTTTTGATAAAATTCCGATAAACAAGATTTTTTGCTATAACAGTCCGACTTGTGGACTGATTTTGGATAGTTTTGATTTTATAATATTTTATTAAACCCTAGAGACTTTTTTCTCTGGTTTTTGGGCGAATTTTCTCTTGTGAATCATCTGTTGGAACTAGCCTACAGGATAATCGTTATTCTGTCTGACGTCAGTAGGGATCTCCTGAATAGAGAATGGGCGATGGTGGATGAATTAAAATTGGTGATTAAAGACTTGAAGATTGTTCATGGTAAGAGTGAGGATTTTATGGTTACAGGATAAAGATGAGGTTTAATCCGGTTGTCTGCCTCTTGGTCCCCTTCGAATGGTGAGGATAGTTTCTCTCTGAGTGGGTCTGATTGGTGTTTCACGGTGTCCAGCGTTTTCAAATAGGAGAAGGGAGGTTGTGGTGGTGTTCTTAGGACTCATTCGGGGGAGTTAAGGGCATTGTTCTCGGGGCCTTCCTCTTTGTGTAGTGATGGAGATTTAGACATGCTTGCCATTAACCTAGTCTTGGAGGTCCTTGTGGAAGCAGGTTTTACAAGGGTGAATAGGTTGATTGTAGTATCTGCTTCGAAAGTGGCTTTGTTTTGGCTCAATAATCCCTTGAGTCGCCCTTCCTCTCTATGGCCGCTATCGAGAGGAATCGGTGGTGTTCTTATGTTCGTGGTTGTAGGGGAATGCATTATCTGGCGCATAGTGATTAATTATTGGATGATTTTTTTAACAATTTTTTTTTAAAACATCGTGATTAATTATGCATTTAAAATGGTAACAAATAAAACGTTAAACACATACGAAAAACTAAAAATACTTTAAATACTTAATATGAACGAATGATATAATTTAAATATTTAATATGAACGAATGATATAATTCACATGGTTATTTCTGAGTTAACTTAATATGATATTATGAATTATAAATCAAATATTAAATTTGATTCAGTTGAATTCATGCTTCCTATATCTTGTCTTCAGGTTTCACCTTCATTTCTTTTATTTTTTATTTCTAATTAAGATTAAGATTAAATTGAAGAAAAATAAATTAAGCGATTAAAATAGAATGGATTGGTAATTTAGGGATCTTAAAAGTAGTTTATCTTTATTTCTATTGTTTTAAATATATTTTTTATGGGTTAAGATCCACTTACACCATGTAAAATTTATGCACTAATTTATAATCATTTGATTTAAATAAATTAATAGTTTAGATTTAATTAAAATCCATAACCTATAAATAAATATTTATTTAACCCATAGTAAAATAATGTTTTTTTTTCTTTTTAGGGTTAAGGTTTAAGATTTAAGCTTTAGAGTTTATGATTTGAGGTAATGATTTTAGGGTTTAAGATTTATGAGTTTTGGGTTTGAGATAAAACGATATTGTTTTATTGTAAAAGATATTTATTTATGAAATATAAATTTTAATTAAATCTAATTTCTATAAATTAATATAAAACTTATCAATTTTACGTAATTTAAGCGGATCTTACCCGTATATATATATATATATAATTAAATTTAAATAAAATTTGTAATATTAAGTTATAACCCAAATCGTCCGGTCCGCCATAGAAACACCGGCCCGACCCAATTCTTACCATCTCTCACGAAACAGCAAAAGCAAACTCCTCGACTAAGCGGGAAAAACAGCCCCTCGAAAGTTTTTGAAATCCCCCTCTCTCTCTCTCTCTCTCTCTGCCATATGCGCTGGTCTTTTGCTGTTCCAAAGTCCCAAACTTTCCCTTTGTTTCTCTCAAAACTTTCTCGGAAAACAAACAGGAAAAACCCCCTAATTTGCCCACCCCAAAACCCTGGGTTTTCTCCGCAAATGATTTCAACTCACGGTCAACGCCGAAACAAACTCTAACTACGGACGAAAGAAGATGACCGGCCAACAGAACAACCCCCAAGGAGGAACTTCCGGCGGTGGCGATTTTGGGAAGTTCCATGGAGTCCAGCCGGAGCGTGATTTGGAAGCTAATTGGGAAGTCGATCTTGCCAAAAAGCTTGAGGACTACCTCTTAAAGATTTGCTCCGGTGAAATTACTGGCTCCCAAGACGATGACGGTCATAGCTCAGTGAATTTCGCCGAAGGTTCTGCCTTAATTTTGGATTCACCCTAAAAATGAATCTTTTTTTTTAATTCTTGCTGGGTTTCTAATTAATATATATTTATGCATCTATTTTTTTTATTTTGTGTAGCTGCATTGCTGCTTCAGGGTTCAGTTCAAGTGTATAGCCGGAAAGTAGAGTATCTATACAACTTGGTTTTGCATGCTTTGGAGTTTCTCTCTCAAAAGAGGTTCCTTTAAGTTCCCAAATTCTTTGTTTTCCGATATTTTTACTTTCCATTTCAGTAAGGGTTACTCCTTAAATGAAGCATTTTTCCCTTTAAAATGCGCTATGTTTGAACAGGCAACAAGATCAACCTGATGGTGCATCCGATCAGGCCGAACAGAGCGCTGCACATGCTGCATCGGACGAGGACCGTGATAAATTTTGGGACTTAGATGACATCCCAGGTGACCTTTAAACCAATGACTTTTTTTCCGTTTTTGATTGAAATTGTACTGATAGTATCAGCTGAAATGAGTGCTTACATTTGCAGTGGAAGTGAAGACTAGCTTAGATAATTCGTCCAACAGAGACACTCTGGTTAACCAATTTGTGAAGCCCCCTGCGAATTTAGTTGTTCTTGAAGGTGATTGCTTAGACACATCTGGTGATGGCAGCGAGTTAGAGTCCTATCTGGTATTTATAGTTGATTGCTTCACTTGATAGTATGATGAAGTTTTACTAACCATGTTGCCTAACTCTTTGTTTGGTATGCACATATTTGTGGTTGTAGTTGTCAACAAATGATCTCTACCAGGATTTCATTCTATTAGATCCATATGATTCGGTGGCAGTCGATGATTATTTGAAGGGTAATGTCGCTGGTAAAGGTGAACATGGCACTAATAAGGGCAGTTCAAGGCGCAAGACCTGTCAGTCTCCCACAAGGCATTCAGGGGGGACTGCACGTAAATCATCTCACAGAAAGAATGCGGATACTAATGTTAATCAAACTCCTAGGGCTGATTGCGATTTTGGTGTTGATGAACGTAATATGGGGCATGATCCATCTGTCGCCGATGACTTTGGAAATGTAGATCATGGATTTGATATGGATGATAGGCATTCAGAACCTAGAGACTTAGATGATTCAGACGACGATAATAATGATCCATGGGAACCTCTGAATCCCCATGAACCCGGAAACTTGAAAGTGAGGCCTTTCAGAAAAGGTAGTAAATTTTGGTTTCTTGCATGCCTTTTTTCTACCTATATAATTTTGATCAGTACCTAATAGTCTTTTCTTTTTCCTTGGCAAGCAGTAAAAGCTTCCAGAAAGCATGCGGTAAATAAGAGTAGTCTCATAACTACTTTGTTTCCACTCGCTAGATTGCATGGGACCATTAGTCCCGAACTTACAGAAATGTGGGAGAAGCAGCAGAATGCCTTTGGAAAACAAAGGGAATCCAAGTCTCCTCCGTTATATGAAAAGGTATATTTACTAAAAGTTTTACTTAGGTGAAGGTGAGGGACAGTTGATTTGTAAAACAAGTTTGCTTGTTTCAGCTTCGTCAATCACTAATTGGGCGAGGAACTGGAGCTGCTAATGCTTTTCCTAGTTTCGAAGAAGATAACGAGGACTATGGATATAATGATGAGAATGTTGATTTTGGTGGACCCGATTTCAGCATGCCAGAGAACATGCCTATGGATGAAGATTTACCTTTCACGAACGAAAAGGTTAGCATATCAGTGATTTGATTCGTTGTTATATTTAGCCACTAGAAAGTGTGAGATTTTCTGTTGCTCATTTATTGATCTTTTTCATAGCATTGGGGTGATGCTGAGTTTGGAAAGAATGAAATGTTTAACAATGGAGATCCGTGTTCTCAAGCAAGCCTGGAAGATCTCTGCCGCTCTCACCTGGTAAGCATACTCTGTCTTATATCCAAGTGCTATTAGGGAAAGTGGTGATCGGCAATTGCTGCCTGTTAGCTCGGGTTTGGCACTATTAAATATGCATTGAACTATGGTTTGATGTCGAATTGTTGCGTGGATATTAATTGCTTGAATAAGTTTGGTGTATTTTTTTCCTGCAGGATGCATTGCTTGCGAGCATAGCTGAAAACGAGAAGCAAACTGAACTGGCTGCTCGAGTTTCATCGTGGAAACAGAATATCGAGCACAACCTGGAAGAGCAGGTAAATAAAGTTAGCTTTCATTCCATTTCTTGATTTTGGTTTTACATCATTATAATCGCTTTGTTCTTTTCTCCTGGCGATTAAGACTAAGGATGCTGTTTTGTTTTTAATAGGATTCACGTCCTCCATTTGATATTCATGAGTATGGTGAACGGATTCTTGACAAATTCTCGCTTGATTCCGGAAAAGGAGATGTCGTGTCGTACGGTGATCTTGTTGAGGGTCAAGAAAAGCATGATGTTGCTCGATCCTTTTCCGCACTTCTCCAATTGGTAATTCTTCATCATTTCTAAGCAGATCTTTGTAGTCATTTCTTTCTAGATAGAAGTTTGTTAGTAAATTGTTGTAGTAACACTTTCACATGAAATTTCTCTCGTCATACAGGTGAACAATGGAGATGTTGATTTAGATCGAAGCGGACTTGACGGAGAGTCTGTTTGTTATACGAACGTAAACCCTTTCCATGTTCGACTCCTCAAGCATGACAAGAGAAGGGTGGAACTTCGAATGCCCAAAAAGAGAGTCAAAATGCCCTTGAGTAGAAAACGTAGAAAAGGCGATAGAAACACATCTTCACCCGAGAAATGTCTACTGGCCAACTCGGATTCAGATTACGGTTCAGCAAAGTTGTCGTCACAGCAGAATCACAAAGCTTCTGCAAAGCTTGGCAGTGTAAGTTGCACTCCAGAAAGCAAGAGGAGACGAAGGTCTCGATTGGTCGAACCTGTGGACTTGCAATCGGCATTGTGACATAAAACATGGTATAGTTGTTGCAACAATTCAACAGTTGAGCTGAATAGCTGTGAAGATTTCTGACCATAGATTTTATAGATTATGTGACAATGTCAGGTATGAGTTTTTGTATTATTGGTGTAACTCAGTCTTAGGATGTTTGTCCCAATGACTTGTATTAACAATACTACTACTATTACAACCTGTTTTCTTTGTAGATTTTGCATTCATTTTATGTAATAATAGTGTCAAATTGTTTACTTTCTATCACTATCATGAAAATTAACGGTTGAATTTTATGTTATATTTATGTAATTAATATATTAAGTAATTTAAAACTTCTAATAAACATATTACGAATTAAGTCACTTTAGTAATAAAGGAATTGTTATCTTTTAAATTTTTGGGTTCATGCACCAAGAATTTTAATGGTGTGAGTCTTCGATGTTAAAACGTTGAGAGTTATCTTTGAACAAATAATATTTTATAATGAGGTCATATTAATTAGAAAATTATAATAATAATCTGATAAATATATGTTAATAAAAAATATTATTTTAGGCAGATTTGATAGAGAGATTAAATTGATTTGAAAATCTATATATATAATAAATACAATGATCTTTTTTAATCTTGAATAAGTACAAGACAATACTTGTTCAAAGATAACTCTTAATTATTTAACATTTAACGTTTATTCCCCTAGCATTCCTGAAACTCAAATTTGAAACCTCAATAGATAACGACATTTCATTTACCACTGAAATCACTCGATTTGTGCAATAATGGTATTAAATTCAAATATCATATTATTAAAATTATCATAAAAAAATTATAAAAGTGTGAAAAAATCGTTAAATTCTATACTAATATAAGTAGATCATTTCCTTAAATATAATGTATCACTGAACTAAAAGTTAAATCCTTTAATCAATTAAGCCTTTGAATTTAAAAAAATTAATCAATCTTTATCGTTAAATCTCAATATTTTTTTCTAAAATATTACTGTCACTTGACTTTATATGAAATTTATAAATTTTAAAAAATAAAATAATTTTGAAAATTCTAAATTTTATTTAAAGATTAATAAACTTTTAAATATCACTTAAAAAACCGTATTATTATGTATTATGACATAATACAGACTGATCCAAAATATGTCGAAACGAAACAACCGTACGGCTCCCTTTGGTCGAATGCACGGTGGCCGAAGTCGCCGAAGTGCCTTAGCAACACCGTACCCCTCCAAAGGGACCCTTGCGAGTAATACTGATACGCCATTGTCACTATCTTAGTAACAAGAAAACTACGGCCGGAAATTATTAAAAGAGCGACACCGAAGATACCGTCAACAGACTGTAATTGGTATCTATGGTTCAAATTCGTGTTCAGGTGTAATGAAATATACAAGTTAGGCACAAGAATTTTAGGATAGAGGATTGACAAACAGACAAACAAACAAGCATGCTTTGGCTTAAAACATACCGTTTCTAACCACAGCTGGGACACTTAAAGCCTCTTGATCTCAAGATCACCGTGATCACCACTCTTCATCATTATAACAAACACGAATACACGATCAACCGGATTTGAAGAGCAAAACCGCTTTCTGATCTAAATAAAAATAGACAAAGTGGTTGTCTCATGAGTTACGTACGAACCTGCATCAAAATAAAAGAAACAAATATTAATGCAACATGGTTTTGCAGCATGGACGGAATTATCATTCTAATTTGTTTTCACCTAAACACGAGATCAAAAACTCTAAGGAGATATTCATCACATAAAGAAACATGAAAGAAAATGTTCTAATCTATGCATATAGTACAATAACTGCAACTCGATTCACCTTATGGATGTAGATACCTAGAACTACTTTATACATACGGTAGCACTATAACTAAGAACTGAGGAAGTGTACCAATATCAGTCCAAGTTTATAAATACGGGTATTTTACATTGGTTGTATACCATGAAACAGCACACGTCAATGATTATAACGTCTAGCATACAATCCATTAATCTGGATGGAACACCAACGAGTATGATTAGGGTAAACTACCAATGCGTTCCCAAAATTATAGCAGATAAAAATCTGTGGTACGTCGGAAAAACTAGAACTGCCTCTTTAAAAACATAGAATTGTTACATGCACCATATTTGGGTAATATACATCTCACTTATATTGGTTACCTATCTTTGTAATGTAGTTAATGAACATCTAACCTAGTAGCGCTCTTCCATCCCATGAATCCCCCAACCCTGGCCCTTCCTCTCCTCTCCTTCCTCGAATCTGAGTTGTGTTTGGGACATTTAAGCCGAAAGTTCCATGTTCCAACCACTTTCTTATTCAACAGAAAAAGATGTCACATATCACATTAATTCCATCAACTAAATGGAAATAGCATAGCAACAAGGCTGTTGGAGGTATCAAATAGATTATTAAGCACATTGATGAACTATTATTAGACCGAGCTTTCCAACTCGTGTCTCGGGCTATATAGAGGTCTTAGCACTTAGAGTGTGCCTTGCGCCCTTGACAACATTGGGAGTAAATCCACACACGGCCAACAGCCATACTCGCACCCCTAATGGAACCAGGCTCTATGAAATCCAGTATAAACTAAAAATAGTGAAATAAAACAACAAGAGATATATCGGGATTGGACGCAGACGGATTAGGCCATACTCTCGAACGAACGCAAAAGTTACTTAATCATTCATTGAAGAACCAGATAAAGTTTGAGACCAATAATCGGAGTATTCCCTTACATCGAAAGGGATAAATCTACTAAATTACTTGTTGATCCTAACCCAGAAATTCCATAGCAACGAAGAAACAATTACAATACAACTCCAGAAACAGATAAAGTAAATGGAATTCTAAATCTCTTTTAAGCCTAGACCTGCTGTGATTTCATCTAAAATAGCAGCATTACTTGAACGAAACCAATTTGCCTAAAATTCAAACTTGTGTATATCCATGTAAATAAAATAAATCTAAATGGGAATTTTGGTTACCAAAATTTCGACCACGATGCAATGCCAAATGGGTCCGTGTTTCTTATCGAATTCCTTCTTTATGTGCTCCGCCACATCTTTCTCTACGTTGTTCTTCTCAAATGCCTAATCAAAAACCCAGAAGAAGAAAAAACAGTCAAGAGTTATCAAATTTATAAAAAGTTAATAATAAACCAAGATCAAATGAACAAAACCCAGAAACCAAATCGAATAAAGAACAACTAAAATCGAGTAGAAAAATGAAAGTTCGAGAGAGGGAGCTAACGGAGATGGCAATATTAACAGCTTCTTTTTGCATGTCGTCTTTCATGTCGGCGCTTTTGATGACGATTTTTCTGGCTGGTGAAGTAGTGGATTCCGCAGTAAGTGCCGGAGAATGTTTCCGTTCATCGGTTGTCGGTTTCACCGTCAGAGCTCCGGTGATGCTTCTCTTTGATTCTTCACTGCTCATTTTCGGAGTTTTTTTTTTTCAAAAAAAATCTCAGAGCCAATATACGACAGGAAAGAGCAGAGAGGATGGGGATTCAATTTCTCTCTATTCTTTTAATATGTTTTGTTTGCAATCGTGAGCGGTATGTCGCTATGTAATTGTACACTGAGCTGATTTTTTTGGGTAAACCTATTCTGCAGCCCCCAAAACTTATAATTTATATCTAATTGGTACCTTTTCTTTTACCTAATTAGTACTTGAAGTACCAATTTCGTCATTAAATTTGTTTATTAATTATTATTATTATAAAATATATATTACTGATGGTGTAGCAATCTAAAATATATAACCCAAAATAGAATGTTGTTCTCCTTTAAAGACATGTGTTCGAATAGTTACGTCTATAGGATTTGTGCATTGTTAATGACAAAAAAAAATCTAAACAAATATTATCTAAATCATCCTATATTATTTTAAAAATAGGGTAAATATGCATTTAGTACCTAACATGTTAAATTTTAGTACTCTACAGTTAAAAACTTAACGAATGGACTCGTCGATCATCATATCCGTCGGCTGATGAAGCTCAAACTTTCCAGCATGCACCTTTTCAACCCCATGAACGTGAAACGCCTCAAACTCCCCAAATAAAAAATGGACTTTATGATTTCATCATCATACAGTCTCCATGGTCCACGGTATGATGCCTTAGAATTGGACTATATCGGTCGACTCGTCATTCTCTCGTGATCCACCTTTCAGATTGGTCGTCCATCTACCAAAATTATGTCATGTCAACCCGTCTGTTAAGTTTTTAACGGCATGGTACTAAAATGAAATAAAAATCTAAATGTTGGGTATGGTTTTTGAAAAATGAAAGTTTAAGTACTGAAATTAAATAAATTGATAATTTAAGTACTAAACATATAGTTTACCCTAATAAATAAATGTATCAATTTAAATTTTAGCTTTAATAAATAAAATTATTTATTTGTTAAATATGTAAACCTCAAATGGTGCGCCATTGAAATAGTTTTAGTAATTTGTAAATATCGAGTTAAATTAATTTATATGTATAAATTATATAAATTTAAAATTCATATATTTTTGAATTAACCGTTGGTATCTGATCTATTAGCCGACTAATCCAGATAATGTACTGCAGAGGCAAGAATGACTCTCACAACCCAGTTTGGTTTAAAATTCATATATTATATTCCACATTTTTATTAAAATCTAATTAAAATTATAGGCACCCATTTTTGTCCGGATCTTAAAAAAAACATTATTAATTATTATTAATAATAATAATAATATTATTTATTTTTATTAATATTACATTTTATATTCAGGTTGTAATTTTCACCATTACGACAACGTGTAAACGATTTAATTACCAATTTTGGGCACTGTGAGATGTTAACCCTTCCCCACACGTAACTAACTCTCGAATCCATTTAAATAAATCTTTGGTAACACAGACTGAATTTTATCTTAAAAACGATTTTTCTTAAAATATTATTTTTAAAAGACGTTTTTAGGTGTTCGACCTACCTATCCCAAATGTCAATGGTGACTCGTATCCAATTTATTCAAATCAACTCAAAATCACCAATTTTTTAAAATAAAAGTCATAATTATTTTTTAAAAATAATACATAATTGTTTTTACGAAAAAATAGTTACGACAAAAATATATAAAAGTAATTAAATGTTATAATAGTTTTTTTATAAAAAATTATGATTGAAATATATATAAAAAAAATTCGAACTTCGCTTTGAAGGTATGTTTGCTGGGTAGTCCCTGTAAAGGAGGCAGCTCAAATTCTTGTTTATATGTTAATTTCATGATTCACTAATTATGGGAAATGCTATAAATATTGAGTTTTAGATGTCGGTTTGATAATATATATATAAGATTGATTTTTTTATCAAAGAAAAAGATTGATTTATATAGTTTTAGCTTTATACCTCTTTTAAGAACGTTTTATGAATAAAAATAAACGACAAAGATTAATAGTAAAAAATACATCGTGTATGTCCGAATATAAAAAAGGGATCCATTGGGGCACATGGAAGTCTCTGTGTACTTTAAAAGATAATGGTGGTTTGAGATTTAGAGATTTCACAAAAGTTAACATTGTAGTCGTGGGATCGAGTCCTACGGTGGGTAATTCATAATTCTGTCTACCGAAGGTCTTCCACGGAAGCTGCTCTCAACCTGTTTAGAGGCAGCCTACTATCCTATCTCCCCTCACCCCATTACATATGGGAATAGAATCAGCTAATTTTACGGAAGTTAACATTGCTCTATTAGCAAAGCAAGGCTAGAAATTGATGACGGATGTGGGTTCACTGATGAGTCGTTTAGTTCGTGCGAAGTATTATCCAAATACCGATTTCATGCACGCTCGGTTGGGTGCACGTCGTTCCCATATCTGGAGAAGCATTTGGAGTGCTTGAAATGGGGGTTTGTTAGGGGGTTCACTCGAGCACCATCATATCGATTTGAAATGACTATTGGCTACCAATATTTCCACCTATCCGAATCGAAAGTCCCAAGGTTGAAACATTGAACTGGGTTGCCGATTTAATTAATCTGGGTTCCAATACATGGAATGTGAATCTGATTCATGATGTTTTCTCCCCAATAGAAGAAAGCAAAATTCTTTCTGTTCCCCTTCCTCTTGTGGCGATGGAAGACTGTAGGGTGTGGGGAGGTTAAAAAACAGGGCTTTACACGGTGCGTAGTGGTTATCGATTGTTGATGGAAGAAGACACTGATCCCAACCTAAGGAACAATTTTTGCAAGAGACTTTGGGCAAGCAACTGTCAAAGAAAAATCAAGCTTCAAGGCTGGAAATTCATTCACAATTTTGTTCCAACTAGACAAAATCTTCACTATAGGAGAATTTCTTCAATTTCCAGCTGCTTTAAGTGCCCAGACATAGTGGAATCAATTGAACATGTGCTATGGGATTATGGACAGATCAGAGAGATTTGGGCACACTTCAATTTTCGATGGCCCTCTCAAGACTCCATACGAACTATTAAAGAATGGTTGAGTTGGGTTTTTGATAACTATCCTAATCGTAATCATGGTCATTGTCTTACTATAATGTGGGCTATTTGGTACGCTCGCAATCAACATTATCACACCGGAAAAAGCACAACAATTCCTGAATTTACCTCCTTTATCAAGAATCACTGCCAAGAGTATAATAATCTGCAGACAATAGTCAATGCTCCCATTCCTTCGCTGATAGTACGATGGAAGCCCGCTCCAGCCCCTTGGGTGAAGGCCAACTTCAATGCATGTTTCAAGCAAATAAATAATAGTGGATGGCCAGGGGTAATAGTGCGAGATGAAGAGAGGCAAATTCTGGGAGCTTGTCAAAGAAAACTGGAAGGGGTTACCTCTGCTTTTGGTACCGAAACTCAGGCGGCTGTGCATGCAATCCAATTCGTTCTCGATTTGGGTTTCACACATGTCTGTTTCGAAGCTGATTCTTGGGCGGTGATTCTGCGATTATCGTCAAATGTACCTGATTTTTCAGAAATTGGAGTATGGATACTAGATGGGAAAAGACTAACCTCTACTCTTCAAGCTGCTTGATTCCACCATGTTCCACGATCAGCTAATCATGCAGCCCACTCCTTGACGACCCTTCCGATGGCAGCTGCGGAAGATGTGCTCTGGGTAGAAGATGGGGTTTCCTCCCAAGCAGCGGAAGATCGGCGATGGCTAGATCACCGTAGAAGAAGACTTTGGTTGCCTTGAGATGACTGGTGTCAGGATCAATTTCACTTTTGCTTTTTCAGCTTTCCCTGCCTGTTCGTTCGTGGTTTTATTTGCTTTAACAAGGGACGGAAAGGTCGGTTTCACAGAGAGCTTTCCTATTTTATTATGGTTTTTATATGAGTTTTGTTTTTTTAGAAGTCTTTATTGTTTTCTTCTTTCAATGTTTTTTAAGTGCCCCACTTGGCATTAAAGATAAACATGGGTTAGGTTGAGTCAGATTTTGGGTTCACTTGATTTGGTTCGAGAACAAGAAATTATCCACCCGATTTTTGACTTGATTCGATTAAAATAAAATTTCACCTATTTCGAATTTAACATGATATATAACTTAAAAATCTGATTTGATTCGACCTGACTTAAAATAATAAAAATATTATTTTTATTTAATAAAAGTAGTGACTTAATCGAAAAAAATATATAGAGTGATATTATTAGAATTATTCATAAAATATATAAATTAAAATTATTTTTTTAAATCGAATCGGGTATTTTTCACCTTAAACCCGAACCTAATCTGAACATCACATTGAAAAAACCTGATCCAACCCGAGCTTGAATTTTTTTTAAAAAAAACTCAATCCAATCGAATCAGATCGAATCGGATCGAAACCCGTCGAGTTCGGATCTCATGCGCATCCCTACTTGAATTTTTTTTATAAAAAATTTAACTTAATCGAATCAGATCGAAACCCGTCAAGTTCAGATCTAATGTGTATCCCTACTTAACACATTGTTTTATAATTCAATAATAGCTCTCTGCCGACGTTTCATTAAAAAAACAATTACCGATACTTTTATCTAAAAATTAAATGAAAAACTAAATATTATAAAATGAAAAATAATAAAAGAAAACTCGATTTCATAAAAACAAAATATAAACAACTATTCCAATCCTGTTAATAAGAACACACTCATCCCTATTCCCAAACAAAGTAGAAAGCAGGTATTCCCCTTAGCTTAAACTTTAAGCTTTAGCCCAAACCTAAAAAACCCAAATCCTCAGCCGACACCCTCGACTATAAATAGCTATCGCCTCCTCTTTTCAAACCCTCTCTAGCTCTCTTTAGCCAACTTCGCCTCCTGCGTCTCTCTCCATAGTTGTACCTAAGTTTCTCTAGCTTCAATTCCTCGAAGAGAGAGGCAGCAATCATGTTGGTCTATCAAGATCTTATCTCTGGTAATTTTTGGTCGTTTTGTTTTTTCCTTCGATCTCGATTTGCTTTCTATTGATTTGTATATTCTTTTTTGGTTTGGTTTTGTGACTTTTGGGGTTTTATTATATCTTTGTTTAATTCATGTTTTTATTTTATTAGTTTTGTTTCGGTGTAAGATTTAATCCGTCAAAAATTAGAAATCCTATTAAAATTTTAGATTTTAGCTATTGGGTCTGGAAATACTAGCAATCATGATGGTTTAAAGCTAAAAGTTTCACATCTTTAAATTATTTTACTCAGAAATATGTTGTGCAGTCTTGTCAATTAAAATGTGTTGAAGTGTTTTTTAGCTGACGGATCTTTAAGTTTCTTCTTTTTTAAAATCTAAAAAAGATTAATATTTTACTACTATGGTTAGTGTTATTTATTCAGTGTTGTTTTGTTTATGTAAGTGTATTGACTTGATGGATCTTTGACTATTACGCTTAGGGTTATTTAATTTAATGAGATTTCATAGGTGCATGTGTGTTGAACTAACTATCGATGGCTTAGGTAATGAAATTCAAAATCAATAAGTTTAGCTGTTTGGTTTAAAATTTCTAGGAGTCTTGATGCTTGTTAATTCGAAATATACTGATCCTTTCGTTATCATGCTTATAGATATGTTTCAAAATTGTTTATGTTGATTTATTTCAGGTGACGAGCTTCTTTCTGACTCCTTCCCCTACAAGGAACTCGAGAATGGGATGCTTTGGGAAGTTGAGGGAAAGGTTCGCATTTCGGTTTAATTGTTAAGTTCAAAAGTTTTGTATTCTGTAAAATGGAATTTAACTTTGATTTTGATTTTGCTACTTTTTAGTGGGTTGTGCAAGGAGCTGTTAATTTTGACATTGGTGCCAATCCTTCTGCTGAAGGTGCAGATGAGGATGAGGGTGTTGATGATCAAGCTGTGAAGGTTGTCGACATTGTCGACACTTTCAGGCTTCAGGTTAGTCTGTTTTGCTCTGAATTCTATTGTCTTGTATTTGAACCTTTTGAGTTGGAAGCTGAAGATTGTAGTTCGACTCTCGCAGGAGCAACCTCCCTTTGACAAGAAGACGTTTGTCGCAAACATGAAGAAGTTTATCAAGAATTTGACACCCAAATTGGATGAGGAGAAGCAAGAAATCTTTAAGAAGAACATTGAGGGAGCAATCAAGCATTTGCTTCCGAAACTGAAGGACCTTCAATTGTGAGTTATATCTTACCATTCCCATATCGTATTTTACTGAATTATTCTTGGTTTTTAGTAATCAAAACTGGGAAACCTTTTGCAGTTTCGTCGGAGAGAGCATGCACGATGACGGATGTTTGGTGTTTGCTTACTACAAGGACGGTGCTACTGACCCAACATTTTTGTACTTTGCTTATGCATTGAAGGAGGTCAAGTGCTGAGGCTTTGAAGCACCAAGCTTGTTAAAGCTTCATACTTTATCATTGTTTTTTACTCTTATTTTCTATCTTCTGTACTGTTAAGACTATGATTTATGGCTTTTATGTTGTGTTTTTGATTGTTTATGGATGGATTAATAATAACTTGAACCCATGTTTTGTTAGTCTTTAACATAATTGGTATGGTTTTTTGGTCTTCTTTTCTTGGGACAAATTGTCTCATGTTAAAGTTAACTTACAATGACTTTGTTATTAGGGTACTGCGAATTGGATAATTTTAGATATTTAATCTTTTATGGATTGAAATATTACAAATTTATAAAACTCGAATTTAAATTTAAATTTCTCTTAATTCCAAAATTTAAATTTAAGTTTCTCTGAATTTCAAAAACCAAAATTTAAGCAGTTGTATTTGTAAAATATATCTTAACCTATAAAAATTCAAAAGGTTTGAGCAACTGTGTCTAGGATGTGTCTTAACCTACAGAAGTTCAAGTTGTGAGCCCATGTGTCTATTAAGGAGAGTAAGATTCGACTCGATTTTTTTTTCAATTTTGAGTTATTCGAGTCAACTCATATTATAAATTCGTTTTTGAGTTCAAATCGAGTTGAAATTTTAAAATTTTGAGTTACTCCAAAAAGCGAAAATTTGAATAAGTATTTTGATTTATGATTTAGTCCTTGATTACCTTATTCTTTCAATTCCTTTTCATTTTAGGTTCATTTCTTTACAAATTTGAACTACATACTCTTGATCTAGAATATATATGTACTTTCAATTTTTTTGATAATATTCTTTTTATTTTTCAATTTAGTGCCCCAATTTTTCATATTTTCCTTATTTTTTCAATTCATCCATTATTTTAAGTTTTTTTTACCAAATTTGAACCACGTGCTCAAATACAACAATATAATACCTATGTAACTTCAATTCTTATTTTTTTTTACTAAAAGTGTACTCTGTTTTTTATTTAGTCTTTTAACTTTGCATTTTACTCAATTTGATCTTTTGACTACAATTGTTTGTAAATTCTTTCTTCTCATCAATTCCATGACTCCTTTATATTCTCATCAATATTTTACCCTCATAATAATTTCATTAAAATATAATATTATGAATATATTTCATAATTTTAAATTGTATTTGATATATTAAATAACATTATAATGTGAAAAGAATATAATATATATATATATATATCCTATATGGTTCGAGAAAGTAAAAAAATGGAATAAATATTTGCCATAATACTATAAATAATTATAAAAATTAGTATAGAAATTCGAATAACTCAAGTCAAATTTCTTAAATTTGACTTGAAAATTTTTCAAGTTAAGTTCGAGTTATAAAATACGACTCGTCAACTTGAATAACTCGAAATCTTTTACTCGGCTCGATCAAATGCTCACCCCTAGTGTCTATAGGGTGTACGTGTTAACTTATAGAAGTTTAGGATATGAGTATTTGTATGTACATGATGTGTACGCTATTAATAGGCTAAGAAAGTTTTGAATGTATATTACACTTTTATAATCTTTATAATTTCTTTGACTATTAAAACAAAATCACATTATTCTCTTTAGTATATGCAAAATGTCAAACATGTTCCATTTAAGTTATTTCAAAAAAATTGAAACTTTAAGGTAATGTTTCTAAACTTTAGTCAAGTTTCAAAATTGTAGGGGAGATTTCAAAACATTTAGGGTGCGCGTTTGGATGGGGAAAAGAAGATTATTAATGGAAAAGTTTTTTCTAGAATGTGATACCCATGTTTGGATTGCAAAGATTCCCAATAAGGGGTAATAAGTCATTCCTAACAGTGGTATTTTGGGGGCTTTTTACCGGAAATGTCATTCCCCCCAATCCCTTAGGTATTAATCTTTTCCCACGACTTTGGACTAAAATGCCCTTAAAACTATTTTTTTTCAAAAATATCCTTCTCCTAACCGTTGAATAAAAAAAATTCTAGGAAGGGCAAATTGTAAATTTATCCTTAAACTATTTTAGAATTTATCCTTAAATTCTAGGTTATATATAATATAGTATTTAATGAAATTTACTCAGTGATATATTTATATTTTTCTGAAATTCAATAACCTGTTTATAATTCTAATAATAATGAAATTCAATAACCTTTAAAATTTAAATATTGTATCAATTTAATTTTAATATGAAATAATTCGGTAAATCTTTAATATTTAAAATTTTTATCAATTTTTTTCTTATTTTAATTTGAATAATTTAAAAAAATAACCTTAAGTGGTGATACATGTTTTTTTTTTGATAAAATATATATTTTATATCCAAAAGCAAAGAATATTACAATCTCAGGAGTACCTAATCAAACAAGATACTCGTCAACAAAAGAACAAAACAAATGAACTAATCTATACTCATCAAGTTGCCCCTTCCACTTTTCTTAGATCCTAGCTTTTATAACCTCCCTAATAGAATGAACAATAGTACCACCAGATTCATACACATTTCTAAAGCATCTCCTATTCCTTTCCATCCAAACAAAATAAATGAATGCATTCCAAGCAAGGCGAAAAATAGTAGCAGTAATGGATTTACCTCGCGCATGAGAGCAAGCCCAAGCAACCTCCCCATCCCAACGAGAAACACCACTTAACATTTTTCCAAATTTCAACCGAAAAGGGACAACCAAAGAGAAAATGGGAGCGAGTTTCCGTCACATTAGAGCAGAGGGGACAGTGACTAGGATCTTCTTGCATTTCGAATGATACCGAAAAATACCACTTTCTGCAGCCAAATCCAAGAACCTAGACATCACATTCAAGACCAAAACAAAAAGGTATGGAGAGAGGGGGTCCGCCTGTCTCTCACCCCCTAGCGCCCTCAAAAAAATCTAACCAAGGTGCCATTAAAACCCACCGAGAACCGAGGAGAAGTAGGACAGACTGGGATCCACTCAACAAACCTATCAGGCAACTTTATGGCCTTCAAAACAGCAAGCACAAAACCCAAATCAACGCTATCAAATGCCTTTTACAAGTCGACCTTAATAGCACAACGTGGAGACGACTTCCGAGTGTAACCATTCACCAACTCCTGAGCTAGCAAGGTGTTGCCAACATTATTTCTTCCCTTAACAGACGTCGACTGGTTAGGCGCAATCATAGTAGGGAAGAACTCAGATAGCCTATTCACCATAATTCTCGTGATGGTGTGGTACAACACATTGTAACAAGATATCGGCCTAAAATCCTTCATTCGACTCGCATTTATAATTTTAAGGACAAGGACGATAGCTATAGTATTAAAAGCACGCAAGAGCAAGGAAGAGTCGAAAAAAGATCGCACTGCTGCCATAAAATCAATCCGAATAATCCCCCAAACCTTTTTGAAAAAGCAAGGGAAATAACCATCAGGCCCGGGCGCTTTATCGTCGTCCTACTGGAAGATCGCGAGACGAATCTCTTCATTAGAGACCTCCTTAGTTAGCAGTAATGCCACATCCGCCAGCAAAGAGTAATTCATAATATCTCTAAGCAACACCATATCACAATCCATCACAGCCGAGTCTGTCCTCCCAATCATACTTATAAAGAATTCTACTGCCTCCGAAGATATTTCCTCAAAAGATTCAAGCTTACGCCCTGCTTCATCATGGAGAACCCGAATGGTTTCACGCTTCTTCTTCATTGCAACCAATGAGTGAAAGAAATGCGTACCCATATCACCCTCCTGCAGCCAACGTATCTTAGTTCTCTGCCTATAAAAGTTCACTATCTTCTCAAGCTCACCAAGCTCTCGACTAAAAGCCCTCTCTTTAGCAGCATCCTCATCATTTCCCTTCCCCGAAAAGTTAAGGACTTGTTGCTCTTCAAGAAGCTTTTTCTCCTTTGCAACACGCGAAGAAATATCATCATAACACTGTCTGTTCAACCTTTTCAGAACCCTTTCAAGTCTTTTTAATTTCCTGAAAAGAATTAGCATCAGATCACCAACCACGGGCATATCCCAAGACTCCCGAACCAGTTTCAAGAATTCTGGGTGCGCAGTCCAAAAGTTAAAGAACTTGAACGCCTTTGGTTTATTTGCAGGAACAGACCTCTCCATCCACACAAAAGCCGATCAATGGTCAGAAACACTAGGAGCTTGAAACTTCACAAACGATGTCAGAAAAGCATCAACGCAGGATTTACTAGAACTCGATCAAGCTTCCTCGCAATAAAACTAGAATCCTGCTGATTGGACCATGAGAACAAGGGATCGGTAAAGGGGAGGTCCGTCAACTCGAGCTCCTATATGCACTCACTAAACTCATTCATCTCCATCGAAGGCCTCTCAATAAGCCTCGAGCTCTCTGAAAGATGCAACGACACATTGAAATCTCCCCCAATAAATCAAGGGGCAGAACCAACCAACGCCTTCATCTCCTTTAACTAATTCTAGAGAGCTCTCGAAGAAGCCCCCTCATTTGTACCACAAACCGCAGTGAGATAAAATCTCATACCCCGTAAAACACCCTCAAAAGAAATTGACTGATCTCCAACTAAACGAACATTTAAAGAAATTTCACGCCTCCACAAGACCCAAATTCTACCATTATTAGCACACCTATAATTTTCAACAAACATCCAATCATAAAAAATGCTAGAGACAATAGCCAAGGCCTTGTCCTCTTTCACCCTCGTCACCATAAAACATAAAACATCAGCTCGAATACAATTCAATCTGCTTAAGATCGAGCGCCGCTTTACAGGAGCATTAAAGCCCCGCACATTCCAAAAGCAAACTAACATTGGGTATTAATAGATGAGGAACCACCCCCACCCTCAGTATAACGCTTACCCCTCTCAACTTTATCATTCTTGTTTGATTTTAGCTCATTCAACAAATGTGTAACGCCCATAGCAGCAACTCTGGACCTACGTTCAGGAGAAGCTAAATCATTCCCAATAGACATAAAAGGTTCGAACCTATTCTTAGCTTCCACAACATCCCCAACCCCCACGACATAATCAACATTTGAACTAGAGGGCTCCTCCCCCTCACAACTTGAATGTTATCGACCACTTTAGTAGCCTCCTTAACAATCAAACTCCTCACTTCCTCATCCTACTTAGGTAGAACAATACTGAAATTTTCAATTAAAGCCTCAACCAATCCCTTCACAACACAATCATCCTTCGAAAGAGTAATAATATGTTCAACAGCTCCCACATCACCTTTCCACTACTTCCAGACCAATTCATGCTTATTAGAACAATTCTTCACCTCATAAGAAAAGGTTTTACAAGTGCTACAACAATCCGAAAACCAAGGAACATGAACTCTAATAGGAACCACCGGACCGTCACTGAGAGCAACATCAATAAACTTTGGACATTGAAAACTAAAATCAATTTCCACACATACCTTAGCATAGGAAATCCTCTGACGAGCCGCCGTAATACCATCCATATACAAAGGACTGTCGAGCGCATTTGCTAGATAGCTCAAGCCTTTTTACCTAAAGAGCTCCTACAGCATGTTGGATAGTTGAACCCAGACAGGAATTTGCTCCAAATTGAATTCCATCTATAGCAGATTTGGCTCCCATCTTTGGAGCAGCATCGGGACATTATGGACATGCCAAGGTCCATTCTCTAGCACCCAGCCACATGCTGTGTCATTGGCAAACTGAAAAATGAAGAGATTGCTTCCTGCGACCATCACCTCCACCGCTCCCATTTTCTCTCACAAAGATTTCACAGCTTGTTGCAGAACTCCAAAATTAGATGGACGCCCAAGAAATTGAGAAACAAGGGAGTGTTTCCGGGAGGAAATGCCCTCATTTAACTCTTCCGTCGACCGCCTCACTGTCACAGAACCCTCACGAACCTTCTGTTGAAAAAACCTTAGGGAGTGCTCCTGAGAAGCTTAAAAAAAAGCCTTCACCAATCCATCAAAACAGAAACCACACAGAGAACAAAAGCAAGCAAAGAATAATAAGCAAGAAAAGCTCAGTCAACACCCAGAAAAATCACTACTGCCATAGCCAAATATCGTGCGTCGAGAGAATTCTTATCGTGCACCGATGCATGTTCTATTTGTCACCTTATTGAATAAAAGAAACGAAAATATAAAAAAGAGATTTACATGTTCTTATTTGTCGCTAAAATAATTTAAATACTTAAAGTAAAAATATATAATTTAAGAATTTTATTTTTACTTTAAGTCTTAATTAATATGGTAAAGTACACAGATAGTTCTTTAATTATGGGGTGTTATTTTATTGAGTATCTTGATTATTAAAATGTATAATATGATCTCCAGACTATAGGATGTTGCTCTATTAAGACCCTCAACTATTAAAATTTATAAAATGATCATCTGACTATTCATTGTTTTCCAAACTCATCTTTTTTTTGTTGAAATAAATAATGATGATTTGAGTTAGACGCTCACATATTGACTAAGATATAGTAGTTGTTTGAAATTATATGATCATATTATATTATATCTCATTCAACGGGTTAACGTCTAACTCAAACCGTCATCAATTTTTTAACAGAAAATGATGAGTTTAGAACAAAGTGAACAGTCAAGTGACTATTTTGTAACTTTAAATAGTTGGGGAACTCAACAAATCAATGCTCTATAATCAGATACCATTTCGTATCTTTGAATAGTGGATGGACTCAATAAAGTATCACCCTATAGTTGAGGGAACCTTTTTGTACTTTACCCTAATTAACAATATAAACATAAATACATTAATATTTAAAATAAAAAAATATTAATTTAATACTATATTGTTTGAAAAATCCATGCTGCTAATCTGCAGAGACTAACGCTTTAAAGATTCGACCGTTAGTACATAAAGTCCAACGTCCCCCTTTCCCTACTTTCTTCAAAATTTTGAATTTTCGAAACGTTCTTTAACCCTTTCCCCCCTTCTCTCCGAATCAGAAATCAAATTCAATTTCTCCAACCCTTTTTAAAATTCAAATTCTGCCTTAAATTCCTTTCTCATAGCTTTGAATCAATCTGTTTCCAGATGATAGATTTCCTCTCGTTTTCTTCTCAAAAGTAATGGCTTTGCGACCCATAGATAACGCACTGCCCATCTCTCCAGACAATCCCAGGCTCAAGAAACATGCCAAAGTGTCTATTCAAACCCAGAAAAGAGCTCCAGAGGTTGGCCTAAATGACGAGAACAAAGCTCCTTTGCCGCAACCGGTTGATGCTTCTGTCGATTACATGGCTTCCGAGAATCTCGAACCCTTTGAAGACCCAGAATCAAACATCCAAGTAATCCCATTTTTAATTAAAAAAGTAAGCCCTTTTCAAGGTTTCATGATTCTGATCGTTTTTGTTTATTTATTTTGAAATTTTCAGAGCTTGGTTGAAGGGTTAGATTCAAAGGATTGGGTAACGGTTTGCGGGTCATTGAATTTTGTTAGGCGTTTCGCTATATATCACTCCGGTTTACTGCTTCCGGTCCTGTAAGATTCCCTTTATTTTAGTGTATAAAATCCATGTCTGGATATTAAGTCGATAAAGTGTTTGTGAAAATGCCAGAGAGAAGGTGATGCTTGTAATTGTAAAGGCAATGAAGAACCCAAGAAGTGCTCTTTGCAAGACTTCGATTATGGCTGCCTCGGATATCTTCGATGCCTTGGGTGAAAAGCTGCTTGATTCTAGTGCATTCGATCAGTTGGTGGGTAAACCAAATTGACCCCTGATTATCATTTCCCGTCAGGTTTTCGTTTTCATATGTTGGAAATGATTTTAATATTTCGGTGTGGATTTACAGTTATTGCAGTTGTTATTGAAAGCTTCTCAAGACAAGAAGTTCGTGTGCGAAGAAGCCAATAAGTCGCTGACGGCGCTTGTTAACTCCATTGCTCCTTTACCTCTTCTTAATCAGCTTCACGGATTTGTTAACCATGGCAACCTTAGAGTCCGAGCCAAAGCTGCAGTTTCCATTTCCAATTCCGTTTCAAAGATGGTAAAGCTAATGTTGTTTTGCATTTATAAAATGTTTGAACATCGTCTAACTCATCGGATATCGCAGGGGTCCGAAGAAATCGGAGAGTTCGGGTTGGTTTCGTTGCTTCAAATGGCTTCGGACCTGCTGAATGACAGATTACCAGAGGCCAGAGAAGCAGCGAGAAGCATTGTGTTTTCTGTACACAATGCATTCACGGAGAACGAGAAATCGAATCCGAGGGCGGCTTGGCAAAGCTTTTGCGAGACGAATTTGTCAACCATTCAAGCTCAGTCCATGCTCAAAGTTCTTTCTTCTTCTTCCCAGTAGAATAATGCTATGAGATTTGAAATTATGTCATGTAAATGCTGTTGCTTACATGATTTCTGTGTAGGAATGCCGATGTTCTGGTCTGATTTGGCCATATACTCTTGTTTCCTCCACTTTGTTCATATTTTAGTGATGGAATAATACATTTTCAGCTAATTTTACATGTGCAAGAAGAAGCATGCGAGCATTTTAGACGCAGGATCTACATCAGGGATGCACGTATAAATGTCACGTCATGAGCATAGATTGACTGTTAGTTAATTACTACTAATATTTTATATCCAATCAAGATTATTATAAGGGTAAATTACTTGTGTGGTACGTAAACTATTAATTTTGGTATGTTTTATTACCTAAACTTTCAATATTTTTAAAATCATACATAAAGTTTAGTTTTTGTTTTATTTTAGTACTTCTGTTCAAAATTTAATGTTAATTTTCTAAAAATCGAAAGTTAAGGTATTAAAACGGACCTAAGTTGATAGTTTAGGTATTAGATGCGGTAAGTAGGGATGGCAACTCAACCCGAATCCGACGGGTTCCGACCCGATCTGACCCGATCGGGTCGGATTTTTTTTTAAAAATTTCGGGTTCGGGTCGGGTCGGTTTTTTTTAAATGTACTGTTCGGGTCGGATCGGGTCGGGTTTAGGGTGAAAAAAATCCGACCCGACCCGACCTGAAAAATATATATAATTTTATCCTATATATTTAGGGATAATTACAATAATATCCCTCCATATATAATTTTTTCAATTAAGTCACTGTTTTCATTGAATAAAATTTTTTTTTATTATTATTTTGGGTCGGGTC